CAAGAATAATGCAACATGCCAAGCTGGGTTTACAGACAGAGATTATCAGTGTTTATGTGTTCTTGGATCTGGATTTGAAGGCCATGATTGTGGTGAAGGTGAGCAATCCTCTGCAATTTGTTTCCAATCAGTAAGATGATAAATTTGTTTTTTCTTTTACCATTTTTTACAATGAACAACTGCTGAAGCGGATGTCAGTAATACTGGATACAAATTCTACGCCAAGGTCAGAGATGATACCATCATTCGATAAATTTATCACCGAGGCGATGAAAAGCATTAAGTTCTCCAATGTCTGCTTTCAGCCTTTCTCTTTTATTTTTTTATCGTCGCTATTATCATTATTATTATTTTGTCTGATTTTCATTTAGAAAAAAGAAAGAAAAAACAGAAAAACAGGTTTCATTTTTTAAATGATACTTCTTTTTTAATTTTCTAGATTTGGACGAATGCTCTGACGGAACACACAACTGTGATGTAAATGCTGATTGTAACAATACCTTGGGATCTTACAAGTGTTTGTGTAAAGATGGATTTCATGGAAATGGAACTAACTGCATAGGTAACTGTTCGCAACACATTATGCTTTCTTATCTCACCTTACTTTTCTGAGGTGACTCTACGATAAAAATAAATCAAGAATAACAAACATTAACAAAACACAAGACAGAAACATAAAAAAAGGTTTCATGTTCATGACATTTCTTCTATAATGTTCTAGATTTGGACGAATGCACTGACGAAACACACACCTGTGATGTGAATGCTAAATGTAACAATACCTTGGGATCTCACAGCTGCACGTGTAAAGATGGATTTCACGGAAATGGAACGAACTGCACAGGTAACTGTTTCTCGAATTTTGTCTTTCACTTCAACTATCCAATGCTTGGCGGGGAGGTTAACAAGCCTGTAGTTCGTTCCGGTAACGTGATGTTCATCCTCACGATAGTGCTTTACGATAAGCTTCGTCGCCCAGTTTCATCTCAGAAAAATTATCGGAAATCGCATATCGTAAGGTAGACTTTAAGTAAACCTCAGTAGACCATCGCAGCGAAGTAGACCATCAAGATCGACTTTCGGCATCAGCTCGGGAAATTTACTCCTCTTCTGTAAGGTTCATTTATTTTAATAGCTTGGAACTCCTCGGCGAAATCAGCCCGCTGCGTTTCTCTGATTATTTGTAACTCAGCTTGATTTCGTTTGGAGAAAGAGGACCGTCTAATCGTCCTTTCTCTTTTGTGTGGCACTTCACGACAAATCTTATCATACACAATGTCACTCGCGTGAGTTGTACCAACTTGACCAATTTTCAGGTTTTAGTTTCCACCTGTTATCTTCGACGACTTCAACAGAAACGAAACTGTGTGGATGAAAGACTTGGTAATGCTCTCCATCGTGGACGAATGAGACTAGAACCTTATCAAGGACTATCTCCTCTCTTTTTATCGGTATTGCATAATTTTCGTCGATGCCTAAGGTTTCAACTTCCCAAAACCGCTTCATAGGATCATTCAGTTCGTTAAATGCCTTTGATCTGCTTAAAAAAGGTACTAGGTTCTTCTCTTCCTCGACGCTTTTCCTTCTGAACAGCCAATATTCGACCACCCCAATGGCCTTAGTCTAACGATTGCTTCTCCCCCAGTTTTTCTCTGGAGTCAACCTTTGCAAAATGAAGATCATCTGGTCTTGACCAATAAGAAGATCAACCATGAGATTAGTTGCTGGTTCAGGAAATATACAGACACGTAAGTGAGGCCACTGCCTCCAAACCTTCTTATGAGAGTATCATTCGCCTCCTCGCATGCTTCTTCTAACAAAGCCATCGCTTTTTCTTTCTTCAACTGGCTTATTTCTCATTCTCGTGGACTTTTTTTCTGCGTCGCATGCCTTAATAAGCTGAAGGGAATTATGCCAGTCCGCATTTCTGGCTCGGGGACATGCGAGGGTTTTTCTTGCTTAAACTTCGAGAACATTCGAACACGCGAAATTCTTTAACAAGTGAATAACCACTGGATATCAATGACGCTAAACCAAAGCAACTGTTTTTTTCTTGCGACATGCGTCTCTATAATCTGTGAGTTACCTTAGCATTGTTATTGCGATGTAGACCTTTCACTGTAGGACGAGAGATAAATGACGTATAAAGAGCGCAAATTTCAAAACAGTAAACTCGATTTATAGTTCAAGAAAAAGTGGGCTTCGATCGACAAGAGAGCGAAGGTTTGTGATTTGGATGGTTTTTCGATAAGCTTAAACGACAATAAGGCAAAAGTGGGTGACACGGAAAACTTTTGGGCTCAGTGAAATCGCAGAGGGAGTTTCATAGAGAGACAATAGCCAAAATATTGTAATTTTTTGGCTCGATCGAGAATGGCACTAAAATATTTTCGAATACACACTGTTGATGATGTCGCAGATAGTTTTTTGTTCGTCTCGTGCAATGATGGCACGAAAGAGCGTGATTTTTAGAAATACGCAAAACGTGCTGAATGGTTAGGAAGTTGTAGAAAGAGTTAATTGTATGGCTCGTGCAACAAGAGCGCGAAAATTTATGATTTGAATGTTTAGTAAGTTGCAAAGGGAGTTCCTTGTGCGGCTTGGGCAACAGTAGCTCGAAAGAGCGTGAGTTTTTTAAAGACATAATGGATGCGAAAATGTTTAGGCTCGATGAAGTTGCAGAGGGAGTCATGATTGGTTTCAGAGACGATTATGGCACAATAATTTTTATAAATGTGAATGTTGGTGAAGGTGCAAAGATAATTTCTTGTTTAGCTCGCGCCATAACAGCGCGAAAGATGGTTTTTTTTTTTCAAAGGGACGCGAAGAGGTTCGAACAAACTTCTTAGCACGAGTGACAGTGATGCGAAAGTTTTTGAGTTTTGAATGTTAATGCTCGTATGACAGTACTGTAGCGCGAGGGTTTTTTAAATTTTGAATGTTAAATAAGTTGTAGTGTGAGTTAAGTAGAAAGATAAGGAAAATGCATTTACAGAAATTTCAAAACAGTCCTATCCTCAAAACTCTCCTCAAAGTTTAGGCCTTTTTACTATGAAAAGATACAGGGTTTTTCATCTCGGTGGTGACCAACCTGAAATTTAGGTATCGGAATCGAGAGCAGAAGCACATGAGTAGGCCAGGCACGCTGCGAGATTCTAGGTATGTCTAAAGACAAAGTTTGATACCAGGAAAGAGAAGAAAGAAACTCGTGGCACAGGGAAAGAAGTGCTTTTCTCTTTAGCTTCTTTTTAATTCAGGCCACTATTTTGCATTGAGGGAGACACCATAGGGATATGTTTATTCATCCATTCTGTAAAAGATAACGATTTACGGTTTGTGTCACCTATTGACGTCAAGATTCGTTCCATCTTCCTCTTTTTTAAAGCATTTTTTAATGATATTCTTGTCTACTTTGCACAATCTGTTGAGCATTCTTCATCTCATTTCTGTCTCTTAAGATTTCACGAATCTTTTTATCACGAATGGTAAGCAAACTTCTTACTGCCATCGAAACTTTATTCCTGAGAATTTTTTCCTTCTGCTGCACAAGGTCAACCTTGCCATCAGAGCGCTTTCTTGACATTTCCCGTCCTCTCCACTTTTCGGAAAAAGCGTCTCGTGGGCCAGGAGGCGTGCATTTTGATTGATTTATTTGTTCCTTCAGCGCCTCTGACTCCTGCTGATTTAATCTTTCATTGGATCTTAGGCGATGTATCAACCAAGTATTCTTACTTGTTAGAGGAATTCTCAGGAATCTTTTTCCTAAGTGGTAGTGGGCATTATAAACAATTCCTACTACATTTTTGACAAATTCTTACTAGTATCAAAATTCTCCCTTTTATTTTGTGTTTATTGCACAGGCTTCACAGCTGTGTTTACAAATCTTGGTAGGAGTGGAAGGATAGGTTCAGAGTCGATTGGTAGTTACTACACAGGTCAGGATCATGACGGACAAGTTGCAGTGTCCAGCGGTATTCAACAGTGGACTGTGCCACATACTGGTGAATACAGAATAGAAGCAATAGGAGCTTCCGGGGGATACGGTGAGGACAGTATCATCAAGAACGGAGGAAGAGGGGCACGGATGATTGGACACTTTAATTTGACAAAAGATGAGATCATACATGTCCTTGTTGGTCAAAAAGGGAAAAGAGGAAATACCGACAAACAAACTGCTGGAGGCGGAGGAGGTACATTTGTAGTGAAAGAAGACAGCACGCCTTTGATTATAGCTGGAGGTGGAGGGGGAATTAAAAATATGTTAGAACAACATCTGGGATGTGATGCGTCCACAAGCACCACAGGGAATGCAGGGGACAACTCGCCATTGGGTTCGGGGGGAAGCAACGGAC